TTCGCTTGAGGATGAAATGAAACTAATGTTTTTAATTTAATTACAAAATTAAATTCGTAGCTTTTAGCTTCCATTTTTGAAACATGGTTAGAACTGTGTAGCGAAAAAAAAAACACATTTTAAATAAATCAATATATATATATATATATATATATATATATATATATATATATATATACTTTAAAATAGGTTATATTTGTGTATAGGAATAGTATGTAGATATATTATAGAAATGATGACGATCAGTTTCACACCTCAAGCAATCTTCAGACCATACGGAGCTACACCTTTCCCGCCATTTGGTGTATTATGGGAAGGGAGGGAAGTGGGAGGGAGATCATGCGTTAGTTTGCCTTTGGTTTCGAACTCGTGCTTTTAGGTCATTGTCAGTCTAGACTTTTAGTTTGCTTATTTATTTATGTATATATTTATTTATTTATATATCTTTATTTTTTATTTATTTATTTATTTTACTATTTACTTATTTCTGGCCTACGGCTGTTTCACGTTGAAACACCGGTCTTCGCATGAGCATAGAACTTAAGCAACGCCGAGACTGATCAGTATTAAGATGGGTAACTGCTAAGAAATGCCAGATGCTGTAAGCTTGGATGTATGGATTGTGTAATGGATAATTACCCGGAAGTGGAAATCAAAGAATCGAGTTCCGGTTGTAGTCGGGTTCATTATATTCACTGGCGCACAAATTTCGATTCTATGGATTTATTTATTTGATTCTAAAATTCAGGTAAAACGAAAAAATCCTATTATAGTAGCTATAAGCACATCACGGGCCATAAAATGAAATAACATCCTATAACCTATATTTAATAAACTTTTAAAAATATCAAATATCAAATTTTATCACGGAAAGAAAAATATACAAAATAAATAAATAATAAATAAAATTTCCACACACGCACATACCCTTACAGTTGCACATAGTCATACCCTCTCTCTCAATCTCTCTCTCTATATATATATATATATATATGTGTGTGTGTGTGTGTGTGTATGTGTGTGTGTTTGCGCGCGCATGTGTAGTCGCATCAACGTAACAAATTTAGTCCAAAGAAGTCTTAAAAGTCGAAACGCGTCACACCAAAACTTTTTTCCACTTTGTCATATATTTTCCTCCATTATTATTCTTGATATATATAAATTTATATATAATTATCTTGTATATCCCATACATATATATATATATATATATATATATATATATATATATATATATATATATATGACGTCACACATTATGAAATGGATAAAGTCTGATAATTATTTTAAGACATTAAAATGCGGTAAATGTTGTTTAATACTGTTTATTATAAACAGAGGATTTACTTAAATATTTGTATCTATAAAAAGAATGTATAAACATAAAAATGTCTTAATATATATATATATATATAATTATTTATTTAAAAATATGATTCCAACTCGCGACATAAGAGGTTTCATGTTTCAAAACAAGAGCCGAAAACTTCAATATAATTATTTGAATTAAATTGAGTTAAAGTAAGTAGCTTAATAATGTGCAATTTCTCATAAAGGCACAAAGGGCATGGGTCATCCCAAGTTTTACATGTTCTAGCCCTGTTTATAATTTTCCATTTTACTTTAGGTGCCTATTTGTTTCCTTCAGATGCCAAAAATATTTAGATAGGGAAGTCTGATTTCTTTTATTTATATTATTGAAAGATCACTTATGCTGCCTCCATCTATCTTTAAAATCATTCTTCGTGGACCCAATGTATATCATATTAGTGCTAGGACTCTCAGTGAATGATATAGTACATAAATAAATCTCCATAGACACGCATACCAGACTAGGGTTAATACATCTTCCGTTTCAAATTTAGACACCCCCACCTTACCCTGACTTGACATCTTTGAAAGTAACTCTATACTGATACTTATTATTAACACCCAACACACGCCTACCCAATTTAAAAAATTCGCCCTAGCTGTTGCCATGGAAATTTTGATTTCAATTATTAAAACACGTAAATTTCAGAAATACGTTATTCCAAAAAAATTTCGCTTGAAGATGGAACAGAGCTTACTTTAACTCAATTTAATTCAAATAATTATATTGAAGTTTTCGGCTCTTGTTTTAAAACATGAGACCTCCTATGTCGCGAGTTGGAATCATATTTTTAAATAAATAATTATATTTATGCTCTACTTTTGTATCGAGCACTATTTTTAAAAATAATAACTAAAAATACTAAGGAACTTTGGATTATTTACCTAACCAGTTCCTTCCTATTTTCTATATATTTTCACACACACACACACATATATATATATATATATATATGTGTGTGTGTGTGTGTGTGCTAGACTCTTCTGTCGTATTCGACGCAAACAGCTCAGTTCCTAGGAGCCGACAGCCCAGACATCAGTACATATGATTTGATTTGATTATAGTGGTGAAGTCTTTGTGCAGAACCAACCACTTATATATATATATATATATATATATATATATATATATATATATATATATATATATATCCTCTACCGGTACGATGAGCTAGATAAGGTCGAAAAGGGCGTACTTTTGTCATATATGGACAGGAAGTGCCCAGTCTTTGCTTTCGACTCAATAAAGTTCAAAAGCGTCTCCGCGTCCTTGTGTGTCGAATTATTTTACATACTATAGACCGTTCCTCAGAGTCATGATGTGTCAAAAGTCTCGCCTTACTCTATCGCTATTTTCATGACCTATCCTCCTTGGGTTCCTCCAGTCCCGACCTTCATTACTAGACCCTACCATACGATGCATATTATAGCAAACCACCCTTTGGTGAGATCTAAGTTTCACAGTTTATTTACCTTATTTATTTGCTATATTCTTTATTGGAATGGTTGACAAAACATCGGTTAATTACCAATTGATTCGAGCTTTATAAAATGGTAAATAATAAGTATTTCCTTATAGTTGATTCACATATTTAAATAATTTAGTTAATGTTTATAATTAAAAATTGTTTCCATATTTATTTCTTTATAAATTGATAAATGATAAATATTACATCATCACTTTTTAAACCAATCGCTCAAGAGTGGAGGTAGTTAAAACAGCGGTGTCAACGGAAAAAAAGATCCTTTTGACAGTGCGTCTTATTGCGGTCACTTTTCTCCATGTTTGCCGGATTTTATTTCTCTGCAACCAAAGACATTTGATCCGTTTTTGAAGAAACTGCGAAGGATCTGATCTTTTAGCGCAAGTGTCTCGTACAACTCCTCCCGAATCTATGATACGGAGCCGCCATTCTACGACATCTTAATTTTCATAATGTAGTATCCATATAAAATATACGTTTTATTGTAACCTAATTATGTACAATAATGGATCATATGCAATATAGGTGAACAAGTCTACTAGAAAATCTGAAAATAGATACAAAATATCTAAATACAAATTAAAGACTTCATTTCATCTTATGTAAATCCACAATGTTTTGTGTCAATTTTTTAACGTCAACTTGAGATTTTTCTTGTTAACAATTTGAAAGGGATAAAAAATAATGAATTTTATATAGTGTTTTTTGGACTTAGCATGAGCAAAACAAATTCACGGATTTGGATGAAAAAACGGAAAAGACTCCTGAATGACATCAAAATTATTGAAAATTGTTCATCCTTTCAAAGTCAATTGTACTTAGTTTAATTTGTAACGCTTATAAATGTAGGTAGAAAAAAACATATGTTGGTAAAATAGTGAGGGTCACAAAGCGCTGCCCAGGATTTCTAATCAGGTTTGGGCCTCCCCGATCAGTTGGTTCACGGATAGTACGCTCTGGTTCTACTTAAAGTCATCCTTTTATCCCATGTTTTTCAGTAAAGTTTTATTTTAATTTGCAAAAGTCAGCCATCAATGACTTCTACTGCTTATTATAAATATCTAGTTCAAAACGAATTTGTTATCTAACAATTATGTACAGTAGAATAGTTGGCCCATTATACATGACCATTTTAGGTCACTGCTGGTGGTGGGCCGCCTATGCTGTTAGGTTCGGTTCGAGTAATCCTGGTTTGTTGATAAGATGTACTAATATACCCATCCCTCACTATGAAAATAGCACATCGTAGTATAAATAAACACATCTAGATGATCGGAAATAGACAAATATGAGCGTCCGCTTTGGCCACGCTCGCTCCACAAAATTAGAAAGTACAAAGTGAAAATTCGCATCAATGAACCAAATACCCAGAAAGTACCTGTATTTTTTGAATGTTTATCACCCTTCAGTAACAAATTTATGCGCCATCACAAATGCCATAGTCTTATTCGCTCGTAATCAGTTTTGCAACACCATCCATGAAATGTAACATGCAGTATAGACGTATTCGAGCAGGCAACAAACCCCATCGAAACTCATATGCTACTTCCCGGCGCTTTGAAAATAAGTTGAAGTAATTTTAGTGTCCAAATTCTTACTGGTGGCACAAAAACCTGACTTAAAAGTCGCCCCCTACTCAAAACATACTGAGCCTAAGTTTATAAGGATTCTTCTGGATTTACAGCCGTAGAAACCAATCTACTATCTTTTTCTAAACAGTAGGAACAATTCACAACCAAGAAATAAAAGTAATCTCTAGTGAGTCATGATTACCGTACGTCCTGAAGAAACACAACATCTAAAAATGTATAATAAAACACTTTGTAATATTTTATGTTAAGGGGCTTACTTTTGACTCTCTTTACAATAATATGAATAATGATAAAATGAAAACTTATCTTAGCTGACATGTTTCGTTCTCTGAGGGACTTTATCAAGGCAAGTGTAAGGATTTAACTTTGTGACAAGTATTTATATACAAGAACAAAAAATTATTGGTATTTTTCAAATTTTTTTAAAAGATATTTCTTGGTATAGTGATGCTCATGAAGGTTAGCGGAAAAGTCAAGCAAGTTCATGGAGATGAGGTGATACAATTCAATGCCTTGTAAACGAGATGTGGAAATTTTTTTATATATTCGCAAGCCCTTTCATGCCAACTGCCCACTTGTCCTCTTAGTTCTGGTTTGTATATAATCCCCTACCTCATATCTATTTCTCTCTCTCTCTCTCTCTCTCTCTCTCTCTCTATCTATCTATCTATATCTCTCTCTATCTCTATCTCTCTATCTCTCTCTCTGCACACTGTGACCTAGTTCCTTGAAATGGTTGTTCCTCAGATTTTAAGCTGGAATGTGTGACCCTAAGCGCTTAAGAAAATTCCTTTCCTAAGATTCTCTATCTCTCCTTCTCTGTCTGTCTGTCTCTCTCCCCCTCTCTCTCTCTCCCTCTCTCTCTTTCTCTCTCTGTGTATGTTTCTCTCTCTCTTTTATCTTCCCCTTCTAAAATTGATTTCTTCTGTTGTTCCTTGCTGCTTACCTTCCCGGTCTTCAAAAGTAGATTCCACCACAGATATTCGAAACGTTTTATTGTACCATTTTCATGAGGAGAAGATGGCTCATGACTAAGAGAGTTCGCAGATTGCCATAGTTTTGGGTCGATTCTATATGTTTATTCCAGAGTGTCCTGGGTATGACGATAAACTACCTCAGTTAGCAAGGCTTCTGATCGGCAGTTTTTCAGGAACGTGGAACTACCTCTTAATTGCTGTTTTTCACCTTTATCCGAGGTTGTAGCACCTGTTAGGGTCCCAACTATGGACAAATAGTTAACCACCTAAACTGTGGCCAAAACACTATGAAAGTATAAAAGTTTTTTTTTTATAGTAAAAATACCAGCAATACATTTTTCATAGTAAAAAAATTACCAGGAATACATTTGTGCAAAAAAAAAAGCAATGCGTTTTTGTAAAAGAAATTACTAATCCTCCCAAGAAAATTAAATTTCGGCATTAAATGACCCATAAGGTGCTGATATACCGCTTAAAGCTAAACAAAGTTTATTCAAGACTACTAAAAAATAATTAAAAACTGGACATCATCTTCCAGCTACATGACTCTAAAATATACAAAAGTCGATTAATAAGTAAGGTCTACTTACAGATATATCACATTGAAATACCGGTTATCGTGCAATCACTAAAGCTGGGCCTGGTCATTAATTAGATGGGCAACTGCTTGGGAATACCAGGTGCTGTAAGCTTGGATGTGTGGGTGGTGTAATGGATAATGGCTCGGTATTAGAAATCGGAGAGCCGAGTTCCAATTTCAGCCTGGTTCCTTATATTTACTTACGCGCAAATACTCTTGGGAAATATACGAATCCATCTCTTCTCCACTCTAGCTTTGGGTTAATTAATATGACTTGTATTGATAAATCATTATTATCTGCCAAAAATTATTGCAATCTAAAAATATTTACTGGTTGTAAATAACCTGCAGAGGTCGTTAAGCCGTAAAAAACAATCAATCAAGACGCTAATAGTGAAAATGGAAATCTGCTTTTTCAATATGACGGCAATGTGTACAACCTTCGTAAATTAAGAATATGGCGTCAAATTACGTACAAAGCAAGGATAGATAATAGAATTTTTAACACAAGAATCTTTTACGCCAATCGAATTTCCCAGACAAATGAAAGCATCATTGCTGCGTGCATTCAAACAAAGCATTCGCAAAATAAGACTTAGACAGAGAGCATCTATTTGGATCACGAAAACGCATAGTTGCAATGCAATCAACAAACGACGCAAAAGGTGAGAAAGCTGAAATTTACAAATATGCCACCCGCACTATACAATCCTAATTTGACATTATCCTTTAAAAAAAAAAAGTCTTAAGCTATTTCCGTCTTCGACAGACTGTGGAATCATATTCCTTTCTTTTCAAGAAATTCAATCATTGCCATTTTTTTTCAGGCCGATACAACCCGCATGGGGCCAGGCTGCTGGGAGTTGGTAACTCTTATCATGACATCATCTCTTGATTGATTGCCAACCAAGGCTAAAAAGCCTCAACCTGTCCATTTGAGCTTTGTGTTAGCACAACCTTCTAAATAATTTTGTCTACCAACTTTCAATCAGAAGTTTTGGGCATACACGTGATATGGTTTTCATTTACTTCTCAGCAGTACCTCACACTGGCGTCATCATCCCACAACAATATTATCAAGCAATCACCTCCAATCACCAAGCAATCCACCCCTTGACTTATCGGCGGGGTTTACTTAAATTAATTGGTGTTCGCAAAAATAAGGAAGAATATTTTTTAACAATTTTTGTATTCATTACACTTTTCTCAGACACTTGTCAGATTTTATCATTTTAGCAGGTAGTCATATCCATAATTTAGCAGGTAGTCATATCCATAAATTAACAGGTAGTCATTTAGCTGGTAGTCATATCCATAATTTAGCAGGTAGTCATTTAGCAGGTAGTCATATCCATAATTTAGCAGGTAGTCATATCCATAATTTAGCAGGTAGTCATTTAGCAGGTGGTAATATCCATAATTTAGCAGGTAGTCATTTAGCAGGTAGTCATATCCATAATTTAGCAGGTAGTCATTTAGCAGGTAGTCATATCCATAATTTAGCAGGTAGTCATTTAGCTGCCAGTCATATCCATAATTTAGCAGGTAGTCATTTAGCAGGTAGTCATATCCATAATTTAGCAGGTAGTCATTTAGCAGGTAGTCATATCCATAATTTAGCAGGTAGCCATTTAGCAGGTAGTCATATACATAATTTAGCAGGTAGTCATTTAGCAGGTAGTCATATCCATAATTTAGCAGGTAGTCATTTAGCAGGTAGTCATATCCATAATTTAGCAGGTAGTCATTTAGCAGGTAGTCATATCCATAATTTAGCAGGTAGTCATATCCATAATTTAGCAGGTAGTCATTTAGCAGGTGGTAATATCCATAATTTAGCAGGTAGTCATTTAGCAGGTAGTCATATCCATAATTTAGCAGGTAGTCATTTAGCAGGTAGTCATATCCATAATTTAGCAGGTAGTCATTTAGCAGGTAGTCATATCCATAATTTAGCAGGTAGTCATTTAGCAGGTAGTCATATCCATAATTTAGCAGGTAGTCATTTAGCAGGTAGTCATATCCATAATTTAGCAGGTAGTCATATCCATAATTTAGCAGGTAGTCATTTAGCAGGTGGTCATATCCATAATAAAGTGTCAAATTGATCCCATTTTTAAAGAGTTATCTGTATTTTTATTTATAAATGTAAAACTGTGTTCTAGTAAGCAAACTTTCCATCTGTTATAGTATTTTTCTCAATTTGTAATAGAACTCAGTTATCAATGACATAAGCACAGTTTCAAACTTGGAATTTGTAAATAAAAATAAGGTGCAGATAACTCTTTAAAGTCAGGGATCGATCTGACACTGTATTTATATTATACATAGGACAACTCTTCTAAGATGATTTTTAAAAATCGATATTTTTCGATTCTGGAAAATGTCAAGGCTTGAAAATATCTAATGTCTAATCTATGAAAACTATGAAAAATCCCCCTACCACCAACAAAAAAACAAAAACTTTCCTTATTTTTTTTCAAAAGAACCAGCCAATTAAATAAAGTAATGATCCGAAGCGCTCATCAAATACTATCAGACGTTTGGTTATTGCCAAAACAGAAAAAGGTGTTCAAATGTCAATATTTTTCTTCATTATCAAAACTGAAGTTGCTATGTTCGATTGAATGAAATGTAAAGCAGAAACTTTCTTCAAAGACATAATGAAAAATGGACATAATTGTAATTTTAAAGAAAAATAAATTTACTTAATTTTCAGACCAGTTTCATTATTCCATCTATTTTTTATAGGATTAGAGACTTTACTTATGAATCAGCTGTCGTAATCTTGAAGAGAAATAAATCTACTTCATTTGGTACAAGTTTCATTATTTATTTTGTCCTTAAACTGTCAACCGTACACAACGGCTTTGTCATCAGCTCAATGATTACAAATGGCTTCGAGCGAAAAAAATCATGTAGGTCTTAACGAGGACTATCTTCCTTCGAACTCCGTGGCCTAGAGCCACAAAATCAGAGACAATGAACTATACTAAATAAAAACCACATCATTTAAAGACTTTCAACAATAGTAGCAACTAAAATGGATAGCCAAAGTAAACTGAAGAGAAAATAATGACATCATAAAGATGTTGACGTAGCGTGCTACTCTTAAAAAATCGTTTCAACCCATGTAAGAAGATAAATGTCTTAAATGCAAGGAATGACTGACGGTTTAAGAAAAGATGGAAGACATCAGTGAGGAGAAAGGATAATCAAAGAACAGAATTCAGTAAGATAAAAGATAGCGGTTGATGTTGCACTTAAACTTTTGAACATCATAGATGCCAGGGAAACAAGAGACCGGAAGAGAGTTCCACAATCGCGAAGTGCGAGAAAAAAAACTCTCAGAATAAACTAGATGTAATAATAAATTCTATGCTAACAATTTCTTTTCTCACACTTCTCGCTTGTGGAACTCCCTTCCACCTCCATGTTTTCCAGCCAACTTTAATCTGCAAAAATTTAGACGCAATCTACTATCTACTCTCCTCCTGATTACTCTTTCCTCTTCCCGCTCATTATTAATGTTACAGTTCCTAATCCTTCTACATCTTGTACTCCTTTGTGTCATAGGGGCTTTATTGCCTTGCATGGCGTGATACCGATTTAAATTAGAAAAAAAAACAGTAGTACACAATCTGTATTCAATTCTGAAAAAATGATTTGTAATGTTGGAGGAAAGTATGTCCGTAATTGGCTATTTCTAAATTCAAGTAAAAAACTAGGAAGGAACCCCTGTCCCATCAATACTGGAAAGAACAATAACAGTTACTGGACGTGAGAAACCTATTTTCCTGAAAAATTGTTTTAATAAAATGATTTCATGAATTTTAACCTACAATAGCACTGGCTTCTCGGTCAACGAATGCCAAATGTTTCCTTATAAGGAAACATGCTTTGGTTTGGTTTGTTTTACTCAATGGGTTAATGCCACAAGATTTTTATTGCTGGTAATATTTTTTTTTTCAAAAATGTATTGCTGGTATTATTTTTTTTTAAATGTATTGCTGGTAATAATTTTTCTCCAAAAATTTAATGCTGGTAATTTTTTTACAAAGTATTTCTGGTATTAAAACCTGTTTTTTACACTTTCATAGTGTTTTGACACCCGTTTGGGGGTTAACTATTTACCCATAGCTGGGACCATAACAGGTGCTGCCACCCCGGGTCAGGGTGGATTTGGGAACACTAGCAATTAAGAGCTGGTTCCACGCTCCTCAAATTCTCCTGATCAGAGGCTTTGCTGCTGTACGTAATTTATTGTCTTACCAAGGATGCGGATGTAGTTTATCGTCATACCTAGGACGATATAAGGAAACAGCTAATATTACTATTACCATTACTATATGAAAAATCATCCACGTGTTGAATCCATTTATTTCAAAAGGGTTTCAACTCTTGCCATTACAATTTATAGCACCCGTCCGCTACAAGGTCTTGTTTTATCGGAACA